TCAATGGCTGCACTGCAGTTTTCATGTCGCCACCCCTATGGATTTCGATTCCAAGGATCCTGAGGTATATGTACACGCACATCCTTCTTCTACATATATGTTATATATGCACAAACACACGCGAGAGTGAACAGATTCTCCATTCTGCCTTTTTCCTCTTTATAATGACCAGTTCAACCATTCATGCATGGCCTTTTCGTTCAAAATTCTTTCCCCCGAATATCCACGTCACCATCTCTCTCCTTCCGTTTCTCGTTCTTTGGTGTGGCTTTTGAGTTCTCTCTGTATTGCTGCAAACATAACTTAGCCAACTTCAACCCAGACTCACGGTACTAGGTCCGTTTCACGTGTCTTGCATGACGTGTTGAAACTTGAAAATAAATCATCTTTGTTTATGGTTTATAATGTGAGATTTTCTGTACATTTTATTTCTCGCTCTCTCTCACGCACTGATATATTTTGATTGGACAGAGAAAAGCAGCCCATCGAATGTTTGTTTTATGTAACATAAAATCCGTAATGTGTCGTTCTATTTACTATTTTCTGTGTGATTATTGATTTTTTTTCAATAATTAATTTGGTTTGATGTAAATTCAAATTATTTTTCTTTAAAAAAAATCTAAATCTGCGTTGGTGTATTACTTAACGTTTTCGGCAACGGATTAAGGCCAGTTTAAAACTCAATAATTGAGCTGATATGAGTTTTGAAAAGTCAGCAGATTAGCATCTTACCGTATCAGTCCTTTGTAAATGCAATTTAAATAGCACGCGTGCAGAATATGCATGGCTCGCACGTTATCTTTTTGATTCATAAAGTGCTTATTTGACTTCATGCTTAAAAAAAAAAAAAGCCCTCATTTAATTGAGGCTGATATTCAGAAAATTTATTTCCTAACATTCTATGGATTAGATTTAGATGAAGAAATAAAGAGATGTTGGGATATGGAAAAATTAAGAAATTAAGATATTGTGTTGGATGCGAAAAATTCCAAATCTTGATAGGATCTGATGTACGTAACAAAAAAGCCAAAAAGAAAAAAAAAGGACAGAATTGAAAAAAAAAATAAAATAATATATTAACGGTAGAATTTTGCAGAATACTGCATTGTGTTTCTTTAATTAGTGAACACACGTTCGTAGTTGAATGACTTGGCAATAAGCACACGAGCATTCAGGTGACGTGCCTACTTGGGTGACTTGGTCAAATATGTTCATATTAAATGCTAAAATATTTGATTATGACTGGGACACATTTTTGTATAGAATGAAGTGATAAAACCAACCATCAATGGCTTATTGGATATCATGAAAGCATGCGTCAAGGCCAACACCGTGAGAAGATTGATATTCACATCCTCTGCCGCGAACCGTCAACGTCGTCGAGCATCAAAGACCAGTGTTCGACGAGACTTGCTGGAGCGATGTTGAGTTTTGTCGCAGAGAAAAGATGACCGGTGGGTGGGTTAGTAGCTTGCTTTCTCTCTTTCTCTGCTCGGCATTTGTTTCTGGGATCAATTCCCTACATAAGAGGGACAAGTAATCTCAGACATTCACAAAACCAAATATTTTGCAGATGTATTTCGTTTCAAAAACGTTGGCAGAGCAGGAGGCATGGAAATTTGCCAAACAACATAACATGGATTTCATCACTGTAATCCCTACGCTTGTGGTTGGTCCCTTCCTCATAGATCCAATGCCTCCCAGTCTTATCACTGCTCTTTCTCCCATTACTGGTGCGTTATTACCATCATCGTGTCTTTTAATTTCGTCTCTCTTCTCGTTCATCATATGCCCTTTGATTTAAATGTTGTAATCGCAGGGAATGAAGCCCATTATTCAATCATAAAGCAGTGCCAATATGTTCACTTAGATGATCTCTGCATGGGTCACATATTCTTGTTAGAGCATCCTGCGGCAGAAGGCAGATACATATGCTCTTCCCATGATGCCAACATTCATGACGTTGCAAGAATTCTCAATCAAAAATATCCTGAGTACAATGTCCCCACCAAGTATACCCTTCCCTTCTGTTTACTTATTCATTGCCATCAACATTAAGAACTCTTTTACATGAAGGAGTGAATGCATGGTGGACTACTTGCCATAAACATGATTCATGATTTTGTTTATATAGGTTTAACAATATTCCAGATGACTTGGAGCCTGTGCACTTCTCATCTAAGAAGATCAAAGATTTAGGGTTCCAATTCAAGTACAGCTTAGAGGACATGCTCACCGCATCTGTTGATACATGCAGAGAGAAAGGACTTCTTTCGGAACCAACAAAAACTCGTGTTAATTAATGGCACCACTAATCGAAAATAAAAATATGATCTATATACATATCTGTGCGCGCCCTCGTGTCAGCCATTGTCTTGGCTCTCTATCTAGTTTTTGGTATGTTAAATGATGAATTGGGAAACATATGAGTACTGCAAATAAGAGTTCGTTTGGGAAATAAAGTTGCCTTTGGAGGAGGTTCAATACTTTATCGTCTAAATTAAAGCTTTGACTTTGTTCTCAATTATTTAATGCAAGGTCATATCTTCCGCTTACTCAGTTTTAATCTGAGGAGATTTTCTTAGCTCTGCTAATTGCCGGTATCGCTATGTGCGCATGAATGAGAAATTCAATTTTGATTTTTGAACTTCGAATATGTCAACGTACTGACGCATACGCATATACCAAACACACGATTGCCTACGAAAGGGAATGGACCCGAGTGTACGGCCCACATAATAGGAAGGGAGGTGTGAGTATCATTAGAAGTCCGCTTAGAGAGGAGAATAATAAGCAGTTTGGTAGATGCGCCTGCACACGATTGCCCGTAGGACGTGTTTTGTCGTCATTCATCTTTTCTTTTATTCGTCAAATGATGACATGTGGAATTAAATATGACCTCTTCTGATTTTTATTTTGATCCTAAATATAAGACTCCTAATCCATTATATCTCTCATATTTATATATTTTTTCCAAGATAGTATTTTAGTAATGATAGTTATAGCCAATACACTTGGTTAGCAAGATGTTTTAGAAAAGACAACATTTATTTATGACTAATAATAATTAATTAACTTATTTTGTTAATATTCTTAAATTAGCCCAACTAGCCCTTATAATTAGGACCGAAGGTAGTAATTATTGCCTCAAATACGCAAGTATTCGTTTTGAACTAATTACTACAGAGGGTTTTGTCTATTATGTCGCAAAGCCATGGCGTTATCGGATCGGTGACCAGGAATTTCGAAATATTTGTTGACTTTTTCTTTGTGCAATGTTTGAGGTAAATTATACTACAAAGTGAGTTTTATATTTAGAATTAAAAGAGTATTATTATTATTTATTAGTGTTGAGATAACAAGCGGGTAAAACGGCTTGGTTGAAGATGCTATGGAAGATATTGTATGCTTTGGAATGGGCAGGTCATGATATGAATGAGACAGTTTTTTTTTTTTTGGGTATAAGAGAGGGGCAAAGCGCAACTTAACAATTTAAGAAGGGGAAGGAATTCCTAAAGACTCGTCAGCTACCATAGCCCGAAGAAGGAGTGGGCAAAATGAATGAGAGTTTTACTTTTGCTTTGTTCCAGCTCACTAGCTCAGGCATCCAAACTTTTGCTGTACCTCCCGCATGGGGTATTTTACCCACTTTTATTTACTTCTCTTGTGGGCCCACTGTTATTGCATTCGGTTTGGGCCACTGTAATGTGCTCCTTTTTTACTGTTTTAATTGTCCGCAACATGCTCTATAGTGTACTAACGGGGTTGGTTCAAGTGGTAAGCAGCTTGGTACCCTTAAGCAAGATCTTGAGTTCGAGTCTTAGCATATGCAGAAATCCCCATTGGGAGAGATCAACCCACCACAAGCCAGATGCGCGATGCGGGTCGGATTCAGATGTAGTCGAAGCAAAGTTCCGGTGAATTGGGTGGGCAACCGAAAAAAAAAAAAATGCTCTATAGCGTTATGAGAAAAGAGGAGACACAATATGGAAGTCTTGTTCTTGTCAGGATCCGTGAGCTACTGAGATTCAACTGGCAAGTTGTGCTGAAACATGTATCAAAGAGAAAGGAACAAAGTGGCGGACGGGCTTGCAAAGATGGGTATTTCTCTTTCTGCATATTGGGATACTTGTCCTGAGAACTTACGAACTTTAGCGGATCATGATTGTACAGGATCTAATCCTGATAGTTCCTAATTTGGGCTTATAGCCTTCACTTGTACCCAAAAAAAAAAAGCTCTATAGCGGTTATTCCAGTTCTGCTTTGGTGCAATAAATTTTCTCATGGTGGCAAAAAAAGGAATCAACAAGTTTTAATTGGGCCCACTTTTACAGGCTTGCGGTCCAATTTTGCAATCGCATGGCAACGAGTGTCTTTGATATCAGTGCGGAATCTAATATGTGTCCACAATTAATATCAGACAAAAAAATGATTATACAAAAAGGCCGGAGGGGCCCTTTCCTTTACATTTCAGCCCAATCTAATAACCAAATCCCTTAGACCGGGATGATGGAGGGCAGGGATATGATAAACATAAAATTACAATGGCCTTGATATTTTATTATTATAAAAAATTTTAAATTTATAGTTCAGCAAACATGAATAAGACTAATAATCATTGATAATTTATAAAGTGGATGTAACAATTCTGACCATTTAATTTTTGAACAATTTTTGATTCTTTAATAAAATCTATTCTTTAAAAATTTAGGGTTCTATTTATATCGTGGACAGTTATCCTTGTTAATTTTGTCTAAATAGCAAAGCTCAGTGAGCAGGAGACAAATAGATCCACATGAGATATAATAATAGCGGTGGACTATTATTGGTGGCCGTCCATCTCTTCCCCACAACATTCCCCCGTCTCTCGGTTTCATCTATAAAACTTTACCTTCCATTCCGCCTTCTTTCGGTACCGTTTGTCGTTAAGAGAGAAATGGAGGAAGGGAAAAGAGAAGAAAATTTAATGAGTTTTTATTTAAAAAAAATAAAAAAGCGGATCTTTAAAATTGTAACAAAAAGTAATATAAAATAATAATAAACATTAATTAAAAGTTTTAAATTCTATTTTTTAAATTTTTTAAATTGAGCTTATGAAAATTTTTCATTTCTTTCGTACCAAACGGACTGCTGATATCCAGAATTCAGCCCTTCTCAAATCGCAATTATCCTCACATATCTTCTAGAAACACCTCCCTGCCTAATGGCTAAAAGGGGAAGAACCGACGCATGATTAATTATTTGAGTCTTTATATGTGCAGAATAATACGGACAGTATAAACTAAGATGGATGATTCACAAATAAATTAAAGAGGCAGCCTGAATCTACTAATCGATAAAACTTTAGGTGTTTGGATGAAACCAAACCGTGCGTTTGAAAAAGTGATTCTGGAGAATAGATTCTGGAAAAATAGATTCTGTGAAGAATAGATTTGTAAAAAGTGATTCTGAGAAGTGAGAGGGTTTGGATATGTTATCAGAAGTAGTTTTATATATACAAATTACTAAAAAAGACATAAGTTAATATGATAATTACAGAAAAAATAGATTTATGATATATTTTAATTTGAGAAATAAAATGTTAATAATATGTTTTTTACCAACATAATAATAATACATAGATAATATAATTAATAAATAATTAATGTCTCTATATATTTATAAAATATAAGATTAAATATATTTATAAAAATATGTTTATAAAAAAAATAACAAGATACATATTATATAGGCCCTCACACTCTCCTTTTTTCTCCAAAAGCCAAAAAATTTTGCTTTTTCTAAAACATGGTTTGGAGTCAAAACCATGGTTTTGGTTTTTGGAGAGGCTGGTAGCATTTTCCCCAAACCATGGTTTGGGTCCCCAAACCATGGTTTGGGGTGCTATCAAACAGAGCCTTAATAAAAGAGGGCTAAGTAGAGGGAGAAGGAAATTAACTGCAAGTCAGTCAGCAGAGAGGCACCTAACACGACCCTCTGGTGATCACGTTGTGCACCATTAGTTTTGGTCATCTATTCTGCTCCACAACTTCACTTCTTGACCCTACAGCAGCTCCGGCCACCTCTATAAAATCAAGCCTCCAATATATGTATACACGCACAACACCACACGCACATCTGTCATCCTCAAACTTCAATTGACTTTTCGCCCCAGTTGCCCTTTACACTACAGTGCTCCTCCCTCTTCTTAATTCCCTCACAATAACCGAAAGAGCCCGACTGAGAGAGAATCATGGGGTCAGTGTCTGAGACTGTTTGTGTCACCGGGGCTTCCGGCTTCATCGGTTCATGGCTCGTCATGAGACTCCTGGAGCGCGGCTACACTGTTCGAGCTACCGTGCGCGACCCTGGTTCCATTCCAACCCCTCTTTCTTCTTCTTCTTTGTTTTCATTCACCAATCATGTATCACACTTGTCTTTGCTCATCTGATTTCATTTGCAGCTAACATGAAGAAGGTGAAGCATTTGCTGCAACTGCCGAAAGCCGATACGCACCTGACTCTGTGGAAGGCCGATCTCGCCCACGAGGGAAGTTTCGACGAGGCCATCAATGGCTGCACTGCAGTTTTCCATGTCGCCACCCCTATGGATTTCGAATCCAAGGATCCTGAGGTATATACACTCTGTGCTTTCAGCAACAAGCAGAACACACAAGGCATTCAATTATGTCCTGCTGCACATGAATGACTTGATCTCAATCATCACTAATTATATCATATGATTAAACAAGTTTTTGATTGGGATGTTGTAGAACGAAGTGATAAAACCAACGATCAATGGTTTATTAAGCATCATGAAGGCATGCCTCAAAGCCAAAACTAGAAAATTGATATTCACATCCTCCGCCGGAACTGTTGATGTCACAGAGCACCAAAAACCTGTGTTCGATGAGACATGTTGGAGTGATGTCGAGTTCTGTCGCAGAGTGAAGATGACTGGCTGGGTTAGTGTGCTTTCTCTTATTTCTCCACTTCCCTTTTGGACATATGCGAGATGAGTAATCCCACGCATATATACATAACGAACTGAATATTTTGCAGATGTATTTTGTTTCAAAAACACTGGCAGAGCAAGAGGCATGGAACATTTGCCCAAGAGAATAACATGGATTTCATCTCCATCATTCCTCCTCTTGTGGTTGGCCCCTTTCTCATGGATTCAATGCCTCCTAGTCTTATTACCGGCCTTTCTCTCATCACTGGTATATACATATTAATATTATATATGCCCTTCAATTTCAACCCCATCATCACTTATTGTGCATATTTTAACTCAATGGGCTCTAATCGTAGGGAATGAAGCACACTATTCAATCATAAAGCAGGGCCAATTTGTTCATTTGGATGACCTCTGCATGGGTCACATATTCTTGTTGGAGCATCCTGAAGCAAAAGGAAGATACATGTGCTCTTCCCATGATGCCACCATTCATGACATTGCAAGAATGCTCAGTCAAAAATACCCCGAATACAATATCCCCACCAAGTATGGCCATTTCCCAAATTCTTTTCCTTAATACTTAAACTCGTTTACATGAGTGAGTTAATGAATCAACGTGAAACATTTTGTAGGTTTAAGGATATCCCAGATGAGTTGGAGATTATTCGTTTTTCTTCCAAGAAGATAAAGGATTTGGGGTTCCAATTTAAATACAGCTTGGAGGACATGTTCACTGCAGCTGTTGATACTTGCAGAGAAAAAGGACTTCTTCCCAAGCCTGCTGTAGAAACCCCTGTCAATGGCACCACTGATCCGAAATGATTTGGGATGCGTCCTCGCATTCGCCATAGCAGCTTTGCCTCTTCTGTTATTAGTTTCTGGTGTTCTCAATTATGGCTTGGGATATATATGGGTTCTGGATATAATATTTGTCTACGGCGGGATGCAGCTGTCATTTAATGCTTTTTTATCCAAAGCTTGGATTCGTTCCACATTAATGCAAGTTTGTGTGCTTCTCTTGCTCAACTTTACTCTTCGGAGCTTTCCTTGGGTTTGTGTCGCTAGTTAATGTCGCTCTGTAATGTGAAATTAGATCTTGAAGTTGATACTCGAGAAGGATTGGCTTCAAGAAAACCAGACTGATAGTGATATGAGATTTTAGTTGTACTTTACATGCTGCCATTGAGATCAGCATTAATTATTAAACCTTCTAATGAAACTTTCGTGCAGAAAGATAAGATGAAGTCCCAGTTTCACGATGCCTTTGGAAAAAAAAGCTTTTTAAAATTTTTAACTACTCCTTCCGTTCCTTATTATAAGAGACAAATAACCGAAATACGTTGATAAAAAAACCAGTTAAAATTAGTTAAGAACAATTAATGTGTAAAAAGTATAATTTTTTTCCAAAAATACCCTCATTAATAAGGAGAGAGAGCATGAGAGAGAACAATTAAATTATTAAAAAAAAGAGAAGTGGGAGGAGAGAGATGGTGAGTTGGAGATAATAAATATGGGTAAAATAATAAATCAACCCAAAAAATAGAGACAACTTGTAAATGTCTTTATATAAGAACATGCCATAAGCATCAAATGTCTTTTATAATAAGGAACGGAAGGAGTAACAAGCTTACAAATAAAATAGTTTTAAGTTCACTTTGAGATTTTGATTCATTGGAAAGAAAAAGTATGGGTGACGATCCTGCTATAAGGTAAATTAAGTGTGTATGTGGGGGGGGGGGGGGGAGTTAATAATTTGAAACTTTAAGTTATTCAAAAATAATAATATAAAAAAACCAATTGCGTAAATAAATTATAAATCGATATCTAAAATTGAAAATTTCAAGAGAGAATCCCCAAAAAAATTGAAATTGTTAAATCTCAAAAAATAAGATTTTGCAAAAATGTGTTGTTTTTTGTAAGTCTAATTTCAAAACCTGTTACAACATTGTTATTAAACCTGATTTATGATTTAGTAATTTTAAACTTTTTTTCTAAATTTCAATCTTCAAACTTTTTTACTGTTCTAATTTTTTTTCTTTGACCTTAAGCGTTCCAAGTTCAATTGCATGTTATGACGTAATAAACCGAATATCAAATAATTGTGCAGTTATTATTGGTTTGCTGGGAACGTGAATAATGATTTGTTTTGTGCAAGGATAATATTTAAGTAACATTTTTTTTACCAGATAAGTAACATTAGACTACTGAACAAAGTTATCCTAAAAATTGATGCTGTTTTGTCTCAATTGGACGGTCAAACCAACAAGCCAATTGTTATATAATTGGACGGTCAGACCAACAAGCCAATCGTTTTATAATCCAGGCCAAAAAAAAAAAAATCGTTTTATAATTTACCCTTTCTTTTTAAACTAATTATAGTTCTATTATTTTGTTGGAATTGAATTTATGAATTCAGTTTAGCTCTCGCAATAATGGCTTGCGGGGCTTAAATGGCTTGAGCTCCCCGTCAGACTAAGTTCACTTTGATGCTATAGCTTATACGACATAGATTAAGGTCTTGTTTGGACTAACATTCCAAAAGTATTTATAAGTATTTTTATGTAAGTTGACATAAAAATTTTTTTTACATACTTATCTTATATTCTATAAATCACGTTTAAAAAATTATTTATAAACTATTCTAAACAAATCTTAAAATGACTTTGTCGTGTTGACATCCCATAAAAATTAAGTTTAGGCCCAGCCTTATGCCAGCACTTCGACATCTATTCATTCATTTATTGGGCTAGAAACATAACGTGGTTGTATTAAATTTGGATATTGGATATTCCCGTTTTACTTTCTTCCTTCATTCTCTTCATTTTGTTCCCACCATTAAATTTTTTTAAAAAAAGAATGGTTAAAATTTAATATTTTTTCTATTTTTATTATGTAGCAAATAATTGTCAACTGTACAAATCAACTTTTAATATTTTAATTTTATTTATATAATACTATAATGGCTTAATACAATTTTTAGTTTAAAAATTTGAACTTATTTTATTTTCAGTATTTGAAATTTGAAACAAGTGTTTGATTATTAAAATTTATTTCGTCTATAAATATTAATCTTTGTAAGTTAAATGTGGTTTCAAATTTCAAGAACAAAAAATACTTATTTTAAATTTTAGAGATTAAAAATTGTATTAATCCTATTATAATCATAATTTCATAAGATATTAAATATTAACTTTTTATTTTTAATGATGAGGAAAAAGAAGACGAGAGGGTCCAATGGGGCTGTAGTGCTGTACTAGGGCACCAACATTTCATCAAACCCGGACATTTTTTGGGGCAGATTAGAGCCCGGAAAGCTGGTATGCTCGTATTTGGTTTTAAAAAAAAAGTAAGGTGCGCCAGCACCCTGAACTATTTATCCAGGTGCGTCTAGTGGTCTAAAATAATTTTGGGTGCATCCAGTGTTCTAAACTAATTAAAATGGTGCGTCTATATCCCAAGCTAACAAAAATGTTATGTTTAACTGTTACTTTTCTGACTCAACTTAAAGTTGACCCCAAATATTCTAAATGGTAGACATATAGACATTTGATATGTATTATTCTTACTCAAAATTGAATTTATTTCCTTCCTCTTCTTCTAAATAAATTGATTTTTGAGTAAGAATAATACACATCGGGTGCCTATGTGTCTACCATGTAAAATATTTGGGGTCAACTTTAAGCTGAGTCAGGAAAGTAACAGTTAAACATAACATTTCTGTTAGCTTGGGATGTGGACACACCATTTTAATTAGTTTAGGACACTGGATGCATCCAAAATTACTTTAGGCCACTAAACGCACCTGGGTAAATAGTTCAAGGTGCTGGACGCACCTTAACCCTTATAAAAAAAACGAATGAAGCCAACGTTTCAAGGAAAAATAAACACCAGTAAAGTTCAGTACGGCTGAATCCATTTTTAGGCTGTGAACAAAATATTTTGCGAAAAAGAAAAAGGAAAAAGAAAAGAAAAGAAAAGAAAACGAAAACGAAAACGAAAACCAAAAGAAGAAAGAGAGAGTAAAAAAAAAAAATTGCCTTGAAGAAGAAGAAAAACTCACTTCTGGGATGGTATCTGGGGACTCGAGTGGGAAAACGGAAGCCGCAAACCCTTGCCGAATTGGAAAGACGGAAGCGGCAGCGTAGAAGATGTTCAGAAACCAGTACGACACGGACGTGACGACATGGAGCCCAGCCGGGAGGCTGTTCCAGGTGGAATACGCGATGGAGGCAGTGAAACAAGGGTCCGCTGCGATAGGGCTCCGATCTAAGACCCACGTTGTCCTCGCTTGCGTTAATAAGGCTAATTCCGAGCTTTCCTCCCACCAGAAGAAGATCTTCAAGATCGACGACCACATCGGAGTTGCCATTGCTGGCCTCACTGCCGACGGTCGAGTTCTATCCCGTTACATGCGATCTGAGTGCATCAACTACGCCTACACCTTCGAGTCACCGCTTCCCGTCGGTCGACTCGTCGTTCAACTCGCCGATAAGGCTCAGGTCCGTATCTCACCATAATCCGTTGCTTTCTTTCCAATTTGCCCCATCCTTAAGCTTTATCTTTACTCTTGTATAATTCAATGAGCGGGTCGGGGTAGTGTTTGTAGTAAAATGGTAGACTAGGCCTAGATTTGGGCTGGAGCTGCAGTTTTGCCCCCCTTTCATTTTATCCTCCTAATTAATCGGATGAGAGGCAGTTCTAAGATGTTGGAGCCAATATCTTCGGTGGAGTGAGGGAGTTCTATATAATTGGGTTGAAAAAAGAAAAAAACACACGCTGAACTTCTTGCACACCTTGAATTTTGAAAGGCCAAATGATCCAGTTAGGCGCTTGAATTAGGATTAGTATCCGGGGTGTGTTTGTTTTCTAGGCGCAGCTGAGGTGAAATGGTAGGACTGACGGTCTTCAATGCGTCTGTGGAACATCAGCTAACAATTATTGCAAACTCTCAAAAATCTGGGAATTAGGTTACTTGGAGGAAATTGTGATAGTGTTCAGGATCAAACGCACTTAAAATAACAAAATAAAAAGGGAATTGAAAATTCCAGGACTTCTGGATATGGTGCATTCAGAAACCAGAAGATGCCCGCCTTAGTTTGCCTGGGGGATAAAAGAGACCTGATGGATGGGAGTGTGTAGTCGCATTTTTAGTTCCTTATTGGTTTTATTTTCAAATTATTTTCCTAGTCCTGACGTTGATTATAGTGTTGGTGTAAAATTTCTCGCGCTAAACAATTTTTTTCCAAGTATGCTGAAGAGTACTATAAAGCAACAACCAATTGTTTCTGCTGGTATCCCGCGTGATATGTTGTTACGTTGGTGTCTCTGGAGTCCTTATTTCGAGCAAGGGATCTGTACACCTTTGTAGATTTACGTGTGTGTTTAGCACCAGCACCACACAGTCATTGGCCTCCCATTCTGTGTGGTGATTATGTGAATGAAATTTTGTCCCTGGCCACTAAAAAACAAAGAGGAAATTGTGGCCATGGACCGGATTGTTTCTATTATAAAGGGAAGTACCTTGATGCTTAACAACTGCTTGGATCCATCTCCGCATGTGTAATTAGTGGTTTAAAAAAATCGTAACAAAACATTCGAATTTAGTTGTTATCTGATTTGACTGTTCATATCATGATTAAGTTGTCCATTTTAAGCCAAAGCTTTCGTAGATTTTAGAACTTTGTCAGACAGGTCAATCTATTTGAACTGCAAAGCTTCGGTGGGGATCGGGTAACCATTGGTCACTAGATCTAACTACATTATGAATCTGCATATATAATTTTCTTTTGTTGAACACCAAAGTTGTCGGCAGTGTTTATGAATTTATTTGGATGTGATTGTATGGACCTGAAAGTGGTCTGGTCTGTGATATCTAGCTTTGTAATTTCTTGTTCTTTCGGTTGTTTGTGATGCGCAATTATGTGGCAGGTCTGCACCCAACGGTCATGGAAACGGCCTTATGGAGTTGGTCTCCTGGTAGCAGGATTGGATGAATCTGGAGCTCACCTCTATTACAACTGCCCCAGTGGGAACTACTTTGAATATCAGGCTTTCGCAATCGGATCTCGTTCACAAGCTGCAAAGACATATTTAGAACGCAGATTTGAGAGCTTCACGGGCTCCTCAAGGGAAGATCTGATCAAGGATGCTCTCATTGCTACAAGGGAAACATTACAAGGGGAAAAACTCAGGAGTTCTATATGTACTATTGCTGTGGTTGGAGTTGGTGAGCCATTCCACGTACTGGATCAAGAAACTGTACAAAAGTTGATCGACGATTTTGAGATTGTGAAAGAGGAAGAAAGTCCTCCTGCTGAACCTCAGCCAGCACCTGAGCCGGCTGCTGCTGCCGATCAGGGTTCTAGTGCAGATCAGGGTGCTGCGGCAGAGCAAGGGGGTGTTGCTCCAATGGATATTTGATGATTTAAAAACCATTATCATCTTAGGTACCAGTGGTCATTATGGGAGTTTGACGGTTTATTTCCCCTCAATCCTTTCTATTTCTGCAATTTTTACAGCAGCGCGTTATAGAAAACGATATAATGCCAACGGTTGGACTTAAAGCTGCGATCTAAGTTATACCACAGGATATAATGCAATGACGTATGCGGTAAAAAATGATAGGCAACCCGGTATTTTGGTTGTAACATCCTGAATTTTAGAAAAGTTGGCCAGACTTAAAAGTGTGCGCTATGATAATTTTCATTCGAATGTAATCTCTTCTATGTGCTATAAATTGTTGTATGAGAGAGACTCGGTTTTTTTCTTGTGCGTTGCTTTTAAAAGTGGACTTCAATGCCCACATTCATGAAATAAAAACGGAAAAACGATCTACCTCGATGTGGCTGGAGCCTGGGGTATACTTCCAAGGGCATTTGCTGCTTGATGAATGAGTTTGCTTCTTTCATTGTAACAACATAAATAATCAAATAAGTAAATAGTAAATACAATGCGATTAATGAAAAAACCTCAAGGCATCCAATTTTCGGAGCATCAATTTTGGTTCCCTTCCTAATTGGGTGATCAGCGCAGCTGTGGGTGAAGCGGATTTGATTGTTAAAGTGCATTGGTTTAGGCTGCCCAACAAACGTAAGTTATAGATTTATAAGCATGTAACATTATTTTAAATAATTTTTTGAAGGCAAGAAATTTTTAGAATTATTATTTTGATTTGCCATAACATTGCCACAAAATTATGCTTTGTTGACCTAAAGGTACCGTACATGTTCTTTTGTGAATTTGATTTACAACTTCGTTTATTTGTATTTAAATTGATAGGGAAACGCAAATATTGCGATGGTTAGTAAAGTTTCATTATTTTATTTACATTTTTATACATGCTAATTTAATATTTATATATTTATTTTCCATGAAATTTCTTAATTTATTTTTTATTTGGCTATCAAATTTTCAAGAAGAAATAAATTTATTCGAACTCGTTAATTCCCATTCAGTCCTTTTTTTTTCTATTTTATTATTTATGAAACTTCTAGACTTAATAATTTAAAAAATATTTGAAAGTAAAACATTTTTTTAGGTTTTCACGAATTAAGAAAGCATTAATGACATGGCATTCATTTAAATATATAACATTATCGTTTGATTTTAGAAAAACCATCGACTGAAATTAGAGATTAAGTCATGCAAATGACAAGAAGTCAAGGGCAATGCAGCAGAACGTTAAACTGGTTCTGGCATGCGAGCGTGAGACCCGTCCAGGTAAAAATATCTTGCGAGCAGCATCATCTGGACAAATGAACAGTCAAAATGTATGCTCGTGAAACAATCACGATTTATGTCACGTTACAATACTATCATGATAACTTACTTTAATTCTCCTATGTAAGATCTAGTCTTGCACGCATCAGTCAAAGCAGCAAGGACTATTGGCCATGTTTGATGGTGAATGATGAATTATAACAAGGCAAAAGGTCAAAATAAAATATGGCAGGAGATTTTATTGTTGCCCCTGTTCATTTGGATATATCAGGAGTGGGAAGACCTTTTATCTGCATCTGCTTGTTCATCCACTGCCAATTCTCTGAGGTCACCTCTCCCCCAAGAGAGCGGATAACAGCGCCTCCACTACAGGCCCCAACTTTGCAGCATTCTTCTAACGACAATCCCTTTATCACCCCATACAAGAATCCGCTCGCAAAAAGGTCCCCTGCTCCCGTTGCATCAATTGCTTTTGCTTCCCCTGTGGCTGGGACGCGTACTATCTGACATTTAAAACAAACAACTTCCTTTATCAGACACAGATTTTCAGAATCCATACTAGAATGCTGGTTAGGTGCCATGTTTCTACTGTTACTGAATGAATGCTGATGGGGATGATATATATTGTTGAAGGTTCAGTCAAAGTCAAGCAGAATGGAAAACCTCTAGGGTCGCACCCTCACCCCCTCATTCCTTCTAAGATGACAAATGATTTTAAGTCCTTCTGGGTATCTATGTACCCGGTAAAAGTGCATGTATATTACCACTTATCGTTGTTCCATTGATCTCCTTGTACACGGAGTTCAAAACTTCACCAGAAATAAGTGAGGAGGAATTAATTACCCCAGCTCATAGGAATAGTTAACTATGGTCCCATATGGCCAATAATAGAGCTTTAGCTCTTACCACTTGGCTCATCCACAGCATGCCAAACCGTGCAACAACCCTGCCCCTCATTGTCCCATGAAAAGGTTGAGAGACAGAGAGAATACAGTTTTTGGGAGGAGGTTTCATATGATATTTCGACAGTATCTCACAAAAATAATTAACACACCTCCTTTCCATGTTTAGCAATGCATCCGCGAGCACCTAATGTCACGACAGCCCACTGGCAGTACTTAGACAAAAATTCCACGGCAGCTGCTGGATCAGAGTTCTGTTCACCCCTAAATCCATTGCATAATAAATTGACATCACGCACAGAACACAAGCCATAAAATAAAAAGTGAAAGACATTCAACATCTTGGAAAATGCAAATAAAATCTACTTCAACAAAAAGCGGTCTTGCATAAGCCGCCTTCAAAATGAAAAAGGTTATCCACCTTAGCAGCTCTTTCGCCTCATCCTCATTGGCAAAGCAAAGGTCTATATTCGCAGACTCCAGCAATTTCAAAAGTGGTAATTTACAGTTCCGGACCATCTATCCGAAGTAAAGAGACCATATAAGATTGTTGATACTGAAGTACAATCATGCAATAAAAATGATAAGAAACATATCTTAAAAATGAAATACATTAACATTGCTTGAAAGATTGACAGCCGCATGCAGTTGCTTGCATAGAAATAGATAATAATTTCTTTACTGGAACAAGCTAATCCTGAATCTCAAGGAGCGAGAAGGAATACCTCAAAACTGGCCAGGTCCAATGAAACAAGAAGGCCTTCCTGCTTAGCTAAATGAATGGCTGCTTGAATCACTTCTAAATTGAGTTTTGCGTATCTCATCACCAACCACTAAAGCATAGATGTATCAGCAATTGAGTTCACAAAAAACCTCTGGATGATTTATTATTAGCAGAGCAGACCATAGCAAAGGAGCATGTTTCCAGTATGATAGCCCTTCATTCTATAATGTATTTTGGAAAAGAGACAGGAGGGATAATTCAGATCTAGTCCTTTATGATTAGATTGCCTAACACAGTTCCTTTTAAAAATTAAGAAAAAAAAGTTTAAGTGAATAAAAGGTATATAAAAGACAAGAAGCTAAACACAAACATATCCATGTTGTCTTAGCTGTTTAGGAGGTCAACCTTGGAGCCCTTAAAATCCTCTCTCTTCAATTCTTCTGCCTGCAGATAGAAAGTAAATAAAGAGAGAAAAAGAATGTCAAATGCGCTATGCAAAATATAAAAGACAACCATATATATATATATATATATAAAGCCTCACACTACGCATGCACCCACACATTGAGAAAATAAATTCACGAACCTGAATTTTCACAGCATTTGAGAGACAGGGTCGCATTGTTCGGTTACCCAATTCGTCAACCAAGCAAACACACTGCACCAGACCACTTAGTGGCTTAAATTCAACTTTTTTCAAAACTCATTTTCTATATATAGAATATAGAACGGTGATGTTAAGCTAACCTGCGCTGTATGTCCTTTCTTTTTCCGCAGTCTTGAGATGCTTACTCCGTTGAAGCTCATATTATTGACAAATAATTGCCCTTGTTCATCGTCCCCATATGCCCCAATAATTCCAGAAGAAATTCCGAACCCGCTACTGAGCCCTCGAATTGTATTCGCTACACTGCCCCCAGCCATTGTCTTAATGGGAGATGGATCATCAGGTGAGGGAAGAATATGAGTTTTGACTTCCTTCAGTATACATTCAAGCTCCTCAATTGCAACCTACACGCATAACAGAATTCTTTACGTTCCATTCCGCTAAGCCCAAAAAAATTAACCAAATTAGGTGTTCAAGCATCAATTTATAAGGAAAGAAAAACTATCAACAGAAGTATTGAGGAACGGCGATAATTGACGTTGGAACACGCTAATCATCACGAATTGGCAGAATTAGACTTTCTTATTTTAGTTTGTCCCTGTCTACTAAGTATAGAGCAGAGGTATGGCTGGAATTAAGCATCGATGAAGTTTTAGACTTTCAAGGAAAGTGATAAAAAGCTCGCGAGAAGAATGGAGAACTTCCAGCAGGGAGAAAAATAAATGGGACAAGGGGAGAAGGATGGTGAACGTCAACCAAATTAGTGCAACATCAATGAAGCAGGAAAGATAAGTGATCCAAAATGAATTGGAACACAGCCGGTTTAACAGACAGTAATAATGCTCGATGTGAACAAGGAAAAAAAAGGAGGGGAATTAAAGAAAAAGCAGAGAGAAAGGCAAGAAATTCCAGAGAAGGGAAACAATCAAGAAAGCACATAGTAACAAAAGAATTAAGAAGAGAAAAAGTGAAGTAAAAGAAGTGGAAGAGTAATTAGGAGGAAGAAGAAAGAGAAGGGGGAGTACAGGAATGGAGCCACCGCGTTCGCCGGGGATCTGATCGAGCAAGGACCAATCGACCCGAGCAACGTGGTCGACAAGAGCGGAAGGCTGAAGACCCAGAAGGAGAGGAGCGTGAGCGTCATTGTTGTGGTCGGAGAGGTGTTCCGCTCCCATGATGGATGGCGCTGTCTCACTCCCTCTCTGATGATTCCAATGGAGTGATCACAACTCGTCCCTCTCCCACTCATTCCCCCCGCTCCTCTCCTTTATACACTGAGCCGCCGCCCCGCCCCCCAAGCCCCCAACATTAGCGGCATCTCTCTGTCTTTTTACCCCCTTTTTTTCTTTTTTAAATAAACATTAATTAAATTATATAAGGCCAGTGAATTAAAATCTGATGGCCCCTCCAATCAAGCACGAGGGAAGGGATGAATCACCCGGCGTATTTGATCTATCATAAATACGAAATAATATACTCCAAGCAAAGCCCCGATTTTAACAAACAGGGTTGCGTATCCAACGAGCACTGTTACTGGGTTTCGAATTGCAAATTTGCAATGATCGGATTGCTTCTTCTTTTTTTTTTGACCAAGAATTGGATTGCCTTTTAACGCCAGACATTTTCAATTTGTTAATATTCTGATTCTCTCCTTCCTCAAAGGCCTAGAGATGCCTCGTGCTTGTACGTGCGCCCCCCTTTTTGAGCCAAGCTTGTTTGAATATAATATATTATCCACTGAGTATCAGTGTGTGTGGTGGTGCATAGTGATATCAACAACTATGACCCTCCTTAAGATTTGTTTCACCTAAAAGCAACGGAAGGACCCTGTGTTCGCACATATGCATTCAAATGGAAAAGACAAGAACCTCAAATTATCGAGAATATTTAGAATTGAACAACTATGGCTGATGATTAAAGTTGCTCGCCCGACAGCGGCTGGGAATCAATACTTGAATTCTAAAGAGGTCCACTCATCGATTAAACAGGCACTATTATCCGCATAAAATTAATGAACGGCGCCATTTGTAAGGGTTGGGAGCAGTTCCAATTCCAGGCAGGCTAATCCACACATGATGGCATGAAAATGGCAGTAGGCCATTAGAATTCGAGTTTATGGTTATTAATTATAATAGGTGGAAATGATGGATATAGAAAATTATGAGAAGAGAAGAAAGGAGGCAGCAGAAATCACGGAGAATCTTTTGGCAACACTTTAGATGATTCCCACCCGGCCTCCATCCAAAAGTATTCCCACACCTCCCACATTATTAAAACTAATACTCCTACAGTATTTAATATAGGACTCAATTGCTGAGTTGGTTTTGGTCCTAAATATAAAACTCATTTCTCATATTTATCAATTTTCTCTAAATTACCCTTATGGATACTCTATCAACCATAATCAAGTAGAAGATAGAGAGGGGTATTAAGAAAGATGATTATGGTATTTTAGGAAAAACGTGTCATAATTTTTATAATTAACTAACTTACCTAACTTCTTTAATCTAATCAAATTAGTTAAATGGGTCATATATTAAGGATCAGAGGAGTATCATTATCACTGAAGTGGAATTCCAACGGCTCAACAGTTAACACAATTTCTTCTGTATTTTAGTCATTCTATATCTCTAAGCGCACATCACCTTCTTTTTTTATTTTTTTGGGCCTGAAAGCGCACATCACTTGATAGTATAAAGATGCATAAACTAGTGGAAACCTAGTAACACTGTCACATGGGATGTGTTCGAGAGCTGAGCAAGTTGGGAGTGAAGAGGGGCATTTATTAAGGGCCAAGAATCTTGATTCATCATTTAATTCAGCAATTATTAGATTCCAAATGTCTGAAATTCTAGCGCCCTATGCCGATGCTTCTGCGTAAGCTTGAAGACCGGACTTCAATCAATCAAGTATTTAATTGTTAACGCACTAACGACTGTAGACTTTACGGTGATTTTCCTATTGTTCATCATCTTCGTGTTATAAATCACCGGTCATTATTGGTGTGATAGAGAGCAGTATACACTATTATATGGTTGTCCTACTCCCACCCTATGCAAAAGCCACGTGCTTCCAACACAACACTACACTTGAAGCCACTGCTGAGGTATAGAATAGAAGCACGCGGCTAGGGAATGACAGGAACCATGTGATTGTTTGGTTAAAGTCGCTGTTACATTGGAAGTGAATATGAATACGAAAGTGAGTTCCTCAATAGTCACATGTTTTGTTTCAAGGCTTCGCATGCGTTCCTCTTCCTGCATTATGTTCTGGCCAATCCCACCGAGTTCCCTTCACTTTTCTACTGCAACCCTTTGACTTCGTCGTCTCCATTATCTTTGTTCCTGTGAATTCTGCATTGCCAGAGTAGCTTTCTGTTATTCTCATTACGTTATGAGCCGTGCCTCCGTTTGCTTAAACTTCTCTACATATACACCTATTTTATTCTGGAATCTAATCACATCATGGTGATGGTCCAAATATGGACATGTTAACCGTCTCAAACTCAATTTTGTCGAAGGACTTGGCATTTTCGGCTGCATATATTTCAAACAGAACCACAAGCACTTGTTATGACTACAAGAGTGATTAACAAGAGTGTCCACTAATGCTATTGCACGGATGTCCAGTCTGTGTTATAGAAAAGTTAGCCTCTGGAGGTCATGTTTCACAAGCTTAGTATTACGCTGGTGAACAGGACAATAAATAACAAAAATTGTAAGAACAATGAAGGAGAAAGAAGCAACTGTTCTCTCTGTGTTTGTTCCATGAATAAGATATGAGTTTTATAGAAAGGAAAATGATGTGATTACCGACAGCATAACTTATTGCAGGGAATCCTAGTATTCTGTCTCACTAGGGCTCCAGCAGCAACCATGGCATCATGTTTCTCAGCAACGACACCATTAACCAGTGTTGCACCCACACCAACAAAAGCCTCATCCTCAACAGTACTACAGCCATGTAAGACTGCGCTATGACCTACCCACTGCAAAGTACAAAATCTGATTACAATTTAGTAGCGTCTCTCTGATCATTCATTGCAGAAGAAAATTACTCACCAACACTGGTATTGTCCCCACTAATAGTTGGCAACACCTTCCCACTTAAATTTGACTCTGCGACTTGGATGAAGGAGTTATCCTGTATGTTAGTCCCACTTCACCTGCACATGAAGGGAAAGGAACATCAAACATTACCACCATGTGTATTTGCAAAACAGAGACCTAACAGAATTTCATGATTTGATTTTCATTAGAGAACCAAAGATATACAGCTTCCAAATATATGAAAGCTGCTTAATTAGAGCTTTGTTTTTTACGGCAATGGTAGCCCCATATAAAAGTGTGCGCAAAAGGGTATTGAAAAATATTGTAGAAGCTTTTGATGCATGAAATCTTTAGAATGTTTTTACGTTCCATTACTCAAGCAAACAACCTTACCTCTCAAGACACAGTCGTACCAGCTTGATGATCCTCTTCCAGCTTGAACGTCTCCAACGATGGAGGCACCCCCCCCCCCCCGGGGGAACAAATGGCTCCTTATCAACTGCAGGAGCCTTTATCAAAATATGTTCATCAGAGTTCGATGCCTAGACACTAAACACAAGAGAGAACAAGACCACTTTATATGTTTTTCATGGTACGTATGACGAAAAACTGGTGAAGGAAATGAAGACCATAAACAGAGACCAGAAACGGAGGTGTTTGTACAGGCGCGCACACAAAGCAGATCGCTTCATTTTCTTCATATTTCTTTCAATTTTCTGAAACAGAAATAAATAAGAGAGGAGGGAAAAGGTATTCATATGAACAAAAACTGAGGGCAAGTCAGCGAATTAATAAAACTCAAAAGTCCAAGAAAGACGATGCATTGTTGGGTTAGAGTTGACCAAAGGCGCGAAAAATCTCGTAATTAGTGTGTCCTGATCTCGCTAATCTATGAGCAGTTGGGTTGTATTCTCTGATTCTTCATCATCATTCCAATTTCTTGAGACGGGTAATACGACTTCTTCAATGTGATCTGGCTGTGCAAGTTGGTGGCTGAATTGACTCTCTCATTTGTATTTAACTTTGACGCAGACCCATTGAATGGATGAATAAATCCTCAAAAATATCAGATATATATCCATCATTACCTACTCCTTTTGTTGATTTTCCTGTGTTCAAATTTCAAAACCAGTCATTACTCATTAGTCACTCTTCAGCCATACAAGTGGGGCGTTACATGTTACGACTGCGACCAACATTGCTTAATTAATTGCTTGGATCATCCTCACTTGCTCATTCTTGATTTCTATTTGTCTTCCATCATCCAAATACATGCAACCCACGCATAATATTTAATTCAGATCCGCCAAAAAAAAAACAGAGAGAAACACTTTTAGTTAGATTTTGCCTTCTTTTTTTTAAAAAAAAAAAAAAATTTCCACTGAGTTTTTAACTTTAAAAATTATTTCTGCAAGAGGGGTAGAAGCAAATGGCATCCATTGCCGTGGAAGATCTCTTATTCGTTATGTGCCTGAATTCTCCTCACCAGCTTCTTTGGTGAGTCAGCAGAGCCCCTGGGCTAACTTACCATCTGAGTTGTTATTAGACATAACTCAGACATCAGAGAGTGGAAGGAAGCGAAACTTCCTGGCCTGCCCGCCGGGCGGTTTTATAGCTTGTGCCTCAGTTTGTAGGTCATGGAGGAAGATAACAGAGGAGGTGGTAAAGACACCAGAACAGTGTGGTTGGCTTAACTTCCCCATATCGCTGAAACAGGTAACATCATCCGTGCAATTTATATACGTACTCATCTATCTTAAATTCATGAGGACAGAGTACTGATTTGTGATTCAACCCTATTAATCTGTGCTGATAGCTTCTCTGTCTCTTAGCCTGGTCCAAGAGAGACTCCCAGCCAGTGTTTTATAAAGAGAGAAAGGGCGGCTTCGAAATATTCTTTTATATCTTGGTATGTTCTGTTGAGGAAGATTGACACAGAGAAAGACAACAGTCTATTTCGCTACCATATATTTGAAAACAACGTTGTTTCTTTTTACCCGTAAGCGTTTTTTCTTAGCGTACTTCCATAAAGTTTTCATTTTTATGCTCCCGTTGTAAATAAACAAATTGTTTACATGACAAAGTTTTATCACGAAACGCCATCTGAAAGTTACTTTGGCCTGCCACCGAATATTATAAGCCGAATCGTAGCAGGAACTCAGTTGTGAAAGCGTCTTAAAGCCGATCGGGCATGGGGAGATTGTACGCTGAAGAATTTGCCAGATAGGTGTCTAGTTAAACCAGCGATGTCTATAACAACCATCCAACAACCGCGAAAACAAATCGCTAGTTTAGTTGTTAAACCTTGACTCCGCTTATAATATTATAATGAGTACATAATTATCCATGGAATACTAGCTTCATAATTTCTTATACAAATGTTGTTTAAACATGGCCAGCTAAGAACATCATCTCCCACATCATGTCTCCTCTCTTTTTTCTCCCTGCGAACCGCAAAATTCTTGTCTCATATATTCCGCAAAGGAGCATGAATTAAGTTTAGTCGTTTACTCTTATTCCAACAAATGAGTGAAAGAACCATAGTTCCAATATTCGTCTTCTGGGCTTTCCTCACAATCATCACACCGACACTTGTTCTCTTGTCAGAGAATTCAAAGCGGGACTTCGATTTCTATGGTAAACACTAGCCTCCAAGAATTTGCTGCTCTTCTCTTGCAGGCTTATATGCCTCCGAGGCCTGTAATTTTAATTTCTCTCTTCTCTTATTTCAATCTGCAGGCAATTCAACGGAGGTAGCAGATGATAGAAGAGTGATGGGTCAAAGAGAGTATCCTATCGAAAAAACAACGGCGTGCACGACGGCTGTAGCAGCGGAGGAGTTGACCCCTGCACCAGCACAAGGACCAATTGTGTCATTACCTGCCGGAGCTAACTTGACGGCGTCCCACCATAATGGTAGTGCTGGATGCAATAAAACTGATCAGGGACCGGCGCAATTGCTTCCCAGAAAACACCTCAAGCAAACAAAACTCCAATCCTCACTGGATAGCAGCTGAAGGGAATGGCTTTGGATCTCAGACTGACGATCTGTGCTCATGGGGGAACGATGTAAATTGGTAAGATAAAACGTTACTTTATAGCTTATATGCTTCAAGTTTAGACGTGGCTTGGCATGGGTTGTTCAGCAAAGCGGCATTTTTTCCTGCTGTTGGTGTGAAAATAGAAAGAGACAGAGAACACATGACGGCACAACAATTGGACAAAAAGAGTCTCACCAAATTTTGTACCTACTGTATGGGTATAAATATATAATTGCACAAATAATAATGCCATGTCTATTATATTTTTTAAAAAAAAGGATTGATGTAAATCTGATTGGTGTAAATGTGTGATCAATATGTTTTGTCTTAGTCACGACTGTGGATTGGCTTGCAGGATCCTTGCGATTATTGATTAGGATTTACGAATTTTCATTTTGATAACTGGTGATGATTACAGTGAAACCATAATCATGAGTTAAAAACTTGCGGCATCAGCCAAGCTCAATAGTTGAGTTATGTACTCGATTCTCTGTTGATTATAGGACACGTTCATGTTCCACTTGTTTGAAACTTGATCTTATAAATGGTTCTGACCTTCCTTATCTGGAGTTTGGCTCCCTCCGTAATCCCACCAAATAACATAGATTAGCTTTCCGTCATCACCATTATCGGAAATTCCATGGTTTCGTCAATAACTCAGAAGTCTCAAACACTTGGAGGTAGAATATCAATTAAAAGCACACGCGCACGAGGTGGAAGAAAATCAGCCGAGGTCAGAACTCGGAGGTTCAGCCGCTCACCAGAAGGGAGCTTCTTCCCATTTGTTCTCTGTCCTCTCCTCATTTAAAAAGGCCCTCCTAACTTCTCCCTTGCCTGCGTAACTCTCAAGAGCCCAATAGTCACATCTTTCGGCCCAATGGTTCCTGCCTCACCGTCCCGCGGCAACAAAAGGACCCAATAACAATATTCAAGTGTTTTAATTTTAGTTTTAAACTTTTTCCCAAAAGATATTTGATTTTTTTTTCCTTATAAGTATATAAAGATATGCGCCTGCTGCATATAGGTCTGAATTTTATAATTTATTATAATATTTTAATAATTTTTTATCTTAAAAGTGCGGAATGCAAAGAATAATGTTAACCTCATAATTGTTGACTTATAAAATGAACAGTATTTTAAATTAAAAATAAAATAATAATGATCCCATTATACTTTGAGCAGCAACAGATTAGTGTTTATAAGTCATAGATTATTATAAACATGTATAATTATATACATGGATGTCCATAACCCCTAACCTAAACTTTAGATTTCTCTTAGGATTTTTTAAGCTTTAAATGTTTTAGATTCATGACCTCCCTAGTAGATAACTCAAAAGGAGCTTCTTATGGTTACTGTTATTATGTTCCTTTTTATTCTATTGTAACATCTAAGATCAAGATCTAATGATCAGATGCCTATAAATAGAGATCATGTAGAAATCTATAAATAGAATTTACGCATAAAGTATTGGAACTCACAAAGTCACAATTAAATAAGAATTTCCCCCTTATTTTCACTCCTAATTTTTTGTCTAGCTAATCTCTTTTGTGCGCTCTAAATTCTCTCGTTTTTATATCACGTTATCTAGAATTTTGAGATATAAACTCTTTGTAGTGTAATACATTCTTCCCATGACTTATCTCTTCACTCAATTAGCGTCTCCTTTCTTCGGATTCCGTGTGGTAGAACCAAAATGCGCACAGCCTTCTGGGTTATAAGTAATTTTCATTTTTGGCCATCGGATCAAAGCAAGCTAGCGGGTCGACGTCCCTGCTCAATAAAAATCTAATACATCGCGTCATCTGGATGGAAATTAGCGAAAGCTAAAATCCGCAATGACTATCCAAAAGAGGAAGTGATGAAAAATATCCGAGGGAGGAGGTGGCCAATCAAAGCATAATTAGCCACCCGCCAGGTTTAAGATGACCTTGAAATCTACATGCCGACACTCCAACACATCATTGATCACCCGCACCAAATCACCAAATAATTTTCATGACCATGAAAATTAAAATAGAAACTGATCGACTAGAAGCTTGCGATCAGAAAGCAGAAGTTGTCGATAAGACAGCAAGGAAGGGGCGAGCGAAGGGTATACCGGCATGTTATTAAACCAGCAGCAAAAACAACTAAAAGCAGTTCTATTTAACACAGAATCCCGTCATATATATTATTCCGGTACTAAACTACACTACAAAATAATTCTTATATTTAGGACTAAAAGGAGTATATATGGAAACAACAATAACTGATAAAGACCAAACCCCGCTAGGCGCGCACACAACCCTACATTACATACGTAGTTATAACAGCGAATCTGATATTAGGCACCAATCCCATCTGCGGGGTTATACTTGGGTGCTCCCATGTTGGCTACGTGGAACTGCGATGCATACCTGCTGGAAGCAGCCTCCATCACCGGAGGTTCGTTCAGAAATGCCCAGTTACTCTTCGTCCACCTGCCCTCACATTCCACACCGTCATTTAGAATGCAGAGCAACACAAATATATTAATTAAAGACAAGAAGCTGAATTATCGTTACACACACACACACACACGCACATTACCACACGTTTTTCTTGATCAGCTGTTCCAGGCGTGTGTCTGCTGCATCCACATCCACCGACTCTTTTGTGCGGGTCAAGGGCATGCTCTTCGACTTCTGTAACTTCGTCTCAGACTCCTCGTATTTGTTCTCCTGTAGGCATCATCTGTATATTAATTAATTGGCAATATACATTTATGCATTTTAATATTTCTGGATACAAAAAGCTAGGTCGGTGTGAGGCTGTCTTCAACCTTGATGGTTTCTGATAAATTGGAAATGGCTCTCAGGTGTTCTTCTTCTGTCTTCTTCTTTAATTTCCAGTAAGAATCGATTTCTTCCTTGGTGAGAGACTGATTTCTCTTCAGTTTAGCTGAGATTGGAAAGAGATGAATTGGCTCCTGAGAAATCAGTGTGCAGGTAGCGACCAGAAGTGAAACAAAACATACAGGAAACGCTTAACTAGTACCTGATTTAGGATCGATGGTGGGAGAGTCCCATCCCGCCATAAGAGAACCCATTTTGCTTCTGTTAATTCAACACAGTAATCCTCCGAACGGTGAAGTTCTTAATGAGATACTGAAGTTTTGGATCTCTCTGTGTTTTGATCCTTTGAGTGTGGAGTAGTACTTATTTAAAGGGGATAAAAATGAGAGAGATGGGGCCCGTTTCACAAGCAGCAAAGATGATGAGGGAGATCCAACGGTTATTATGAAGATCCGCTTAGTCTGGGCATTGTAAAAACGTGATATTCTAATTCTAGCCAGGCTTAAGCCTGCCCACTCCCACAGGTTTACAAAACAACCCCCCGACACTTTCGCTTGTTTTTGTTTTCCCTGAACCTTTTCAATTCTTTTTCGACCATTGCGTTATTTTAATTCCTAAAATTTTGAGAATTTCACATCTTATCTGTGACAAAATAAAACCCCAAAACCCCATGTAAGAACGGAAAAAAAGAAAAGAAAACTAAAGCTAATAGACGTAAAACCTCGTTATATCTTACAATTTATATGCATTTATGTAAATATCTGTTTTGTTTCGGTTTATTCTCTCTCTCTCTCCCCCTTCTTTATTTGTCTCCATCATAACTTAGCTTTCCTTCCATAGTTCCACTATCGGCAACAACCTCAAAAAACAGGAGCAGCCTGAAAGCTTTCCACTTTGAGTGGCGGATGTCTCCATCCAAATGGGATCCACGTCCACCAAACAATGTTATCCTGAAGAAAATATCGCCCCCAAACTTTGCTTTTGTTTTCTGTGCTTTTCTTTGTGTCTTTATCATCTATCATTATTGCCAGTTGCCACCACCATTTCGCGATCACTCGACCAGCCCATGCATTTGTGACGAATAAGCAACAAATATTCAGTACAGTTCACAGTCATACTCACTGAATATTACATTAATCTTTTTATATGATCAGACTTTATCCTCCTGTTAATGCTAATTTGGCGAACGAATAAAAATGGATTAATCCAGAAGGAATATCGAAAGATAAACACTCTATTCCTAGACCAAGTTTTGGATTATACTATCATTTAAGATTTTAGGATTCTTCTAGGGACAGGCGCTCATGCAAAACAAAATAACTTCGTGTGATCATTTAATCTGTCTGTTTCCTTCAATTAATTAATTGCCGAAAAAAGATAAAGATTAATTGCGTCTTGCCTTTTTTCGGTGCGCCGCCCTTCTCTTTATCTGAATGAGTCTTGAGACGCGTTCGGATTAGAATTTACCAAAGCCGGGGGTTTGGCTCAAATGCAGAATGGACAAATGAACTTATAAATGCCTCGACTCAACTGTGGGTTTAGAGATAAATTTGTTTTTGGCATTTAAGAAAACTACACAACAAAGTTCATAAAGCTTTAACATGGACCCGAGTCGTGCAAAAGGAAATCAAACATAGCCTGGACTCTCAGCAGCAATCAATCACACGAACCTAGAAGGCCCAAGCCCAGATTGTCTGCTTTGGGCTGTGCCTTGGTTGAAACCCACAATAACATGCCCAGAGACTAATGCGGGGAAATATGTAAATGAATTGTACCCAAAAATTAAAAAGACAAAAACAATGGGATTTGGGTTTAGACATTAGCGAAAGAAACTAATCTCTCGTAACACGTGGTGAACCGAGTTCAAATTCTACAGTGCCTACATAGTAAAAAAATTGTACCAAAAAAAAAAAGGAAAAGGAAATATATAAACGAATAATGATTATTGAGATGGGAGTGAGGAATACAGTAGAGGCGGCAGGAACGGGATGATTGATAAAATGGCACACAGACTCGGGACTGGAGGCACGAGTGAACTGAATAAAGGGAGGGACCAGACGTCCGTCTGCGTCCTTGTTGGCTTTTTTATAACATACAACTCACACCACAATCATATCATCCACTACTCACGCTCATCATCCACATAATTTTGGGTTACGCAAAATCAGGGGCTGCAATAATTCACGTACGTGGAAGTTATTTGATTGGACTTTAATTTATTATATGTCATGATAAGACAGAGAGTAGGAACATGCTCTCCAAGTTACACTGTGCAGAACAGCCTCGACCATGCATCTACTCAACTCCAGCCTCTGCTTGGTTCACTTATCCCATTTGTCCTTCACTTCTGAAACCACATTTCACTTGACTTATCCTCATGCCTGCTATCTTTATCAACTTCTCTATCAATTATATGTCGCCATGAGTTAATAACTTTCAGTATCACGGGATTCCCATTTTGCACGAAGCATTAAAAATAAGATAAAGATTATGATTGAGATTGAGATTAACAAAATTATTAAAAAAATATTTAATACGAGAAATTATTTATTATTTGAAATCGAACAACTCTATGTATGTAGAATTAAAAAATACTTAAATGCCACAGGCTCATTAACAAGCTCCCCATCAGTCATCACTACCCCCTTAGCTACCACCAAACAACACACTTCCTACGTCTAGAGGTGTCATTTAATTATTAGTAAGTAAAATTAGGTGGCGTTTCCAACTCCTACGTTTCATCGAATCCGCGGATGCAAGTTTTGTTCTCCCATCAACCGAAGCGTCGGCTGCGCAAGTTGGTGACTGAATTGACTCTCATATCTGTACTGTTTGACCCACACCCAAGCGAATGGGCGAGTGAATCCTCCAAAAATATCAGACATATTTCCATCGTTACCCACTCCTTTTCTTGATTTTTCCATGTTCAAATCATAAAAACAGTCATTAGTCACTATTCCACCATACAAGTGGGGCGTTCCACATTGTGACCGCGATCAGCATTGCTTTGTTAATTCCGACTACGTATGGTGGATCGCCCTCACTTGCTTATTCTTAATTTAATTCCTATGTGTGCATCTTCATTATCCAAACACATGCCAGGTGCAGCCCACGCATAATATTTAATTCAGATTTTTTAGTTACGTTGTTCAAATTTTTTATTTCGACTTTCTAATTTTTAATGAAAAATATATAAAATCTTTACTTTAATCGCTGTGAACTGTCCTAAATTGATCAGGGACACACGTGACTTTAACGAATATCCTTTGACTGGTGTTATTTAAATTTAAGATAGAACAGATATTTTCTTCTGGAAAAGCGACATTAAGTATCAACACAACAGGGGTAATGAAACAACAATGATCCTTAATAAAACTGCAATATGTACACAGTTTTTAACTAAATTTAATTTAATTGGATTCGTTTAGTATTATCATACGGAAATTATACAGTCGTTAAAAATTATGTTTTTTTTAATTACAGTGTGCAATAAAAAACTCAATAATTATTAAAATACAAAACTCATAATTTGGGGGTCAACAGCAGAGGATGACGGGGACGTTGAAAGAGCGTTTGACGCTTTGACCATGCGTTGCTGTGATGGGCTGAATTGACGGTAAACGAAGCAGCGTCCAGGGTGGGCCCACACCTAATTAACCGAAGACCCAAATATTCGCTTGTCTCCTCCCGCGTGACCATTCTTACGCATCTCCCCCCCCCCCCCAATAACCTGAAGATCGATGAGCGTCTCCGGACATAGCGCACTGCTGCAAAGACGTTGAGGGTGGTCTCACCATTCCCTGTATTATTACAGAAGACTCCACGATTTGATCTCCATTCCCTAGTTTTATCTCTTCCTTCCTCACTCTCTTATCTTAGCCTTTTGCTTTCTCCGAGACATTGGCTTCGGTAAGTGGTTCAGTTTTTTGGAAGCATTCTCCTCATTTTCTCCCCATTATCTCCTAATCCTTTCTGTCTTCCAACTTCTCTCTGAGAATCTGTGGTTTTCTAGGCACTTGCCTCTCGGAGTCGCGGTACACGAACTTCCTTCTTAATTCCTGAGCCTTCTCATTATTCTTTTCTTCTCTTTTTCAGTTTTCCATTTCATCTGTGCCGCTAGTTCAAATGCCAAAGGTTTTTGGATCTAGGATTCCAATCACATGCTAACTTCTCTTTGCATTTTACCGGACCATATATGTGCTCCTCCCTCATCGTCTCGCATTCGGTGTTTTGCATCGACTGAAAGACTGGTTTGCCGGGCAACGCATGGGACATGTAAATAACACAGTACCTCCTTTTGAGCCGAGATAGATAATATATTTATCTTCATTGGTAATAATGTTACCTTGTCTGAGAACACTTCATTTACTTTCTCGTTGTCAGCGCTTATTACTTCCTTTAAGACTTCTTTCCCGGCAAATTTGAAAATTTCCCCCGTCGGTATTCCATAATTGTTCTTTATGTTAATACGAACAATGCAACTGGGTACTTAATAACTGTCCATTATCAATTAGTGATTCACGGCTTCAATGGTATATCCACTGTACTTATATAGATGTGTCATAAATCTCTCTAAACTTTCCAATTTCTTCTTTCTTATTTTTTTTTTTCACCAACTTAAATTGCAGTGTTAGCCCAATCATTATGCCTTTCAAAGATTTTGTTCGTGAGCTCAGGGATATTCGAGATGGCATGGGAAATATTTCTACAAGAGGGGTAGAAGCAAATCGCATCCCTTGCCGTGGAAGATCTCTTATTGCTCCTGAATTCTCCTCACCAGTTTCGTTAGTGACTCAGCAGAGCCCCTGGGCTAACTTACCATCTGAGTTGTTATTAGACATAATTCAGAGGGTGGAAGCAAGCGAAACTTCATGGCCTGGCCGGCGTGCGGTTGTAGCTTGTGCCTCAGTTTGTAGGTCATGGAGGAAAATAACAGAGGAGGTGGTAAAGACGCCAGAGCAGTGTGGTTGGCTTACCTTCCCCATATCGCTGAAGCAGGTAATATCACCCATGCAATTTATCCACGTACTTATCTGTCTTAAATTCATGAGCAGAGAGTAATGATTTGTGATTCACCCCTATTAAACTGTGCTGACTGCTTCTCTGCCTCTTAGCCTGGTCCAAGAGAGACTCCCGTCCAGTGTTTTATAAAGAGAGAAAGGGTGACTTCGAAATATCTTTTATATCTTGGTTTAAGTCCAGGTAATATGGTTGTTCTGTTGCTGCATATATCTCTTGTGAAGAGTTAAAAGTTTTCCTTTTGAGTTTAAACGGTGGCATTGAAATTGTCGAACCATCATTGTGGATAGTCACTTTGTTGCAATCTTCTGCCCGAGCAAATTCTTTCGATCGTCTAGTTTAAGTGAGCACGTAATTTTACTCTCTATAGAAACGGTTATCGTGAAGACTAAATTTTTATATCCTGGTATGGCAGTAGTAATTCTTGGCTGGGGGAAAAAAACTTTTTTCTTCAAATAATAGTTACTTTTCCTTAACTCGCTCTTTTCAATTACTTAGGTTGTTGAACAATGTAGGTCGGTCTAATGTAACTGCAGCTGCTGTCATGAGGACTAGATTTTCTTTGCTGACGTATCTTAATCTGTTTTTTCTTTTTTATTTCGACGTCTCGTATCATCTTTTCTTTGGGACGAAGTCCCACCAGTTCCCTTGAAGTGAAGCATTTATTAGTATAGACATTGTTACTACTGGGATATGTAACTCTGTTTTGCAGCTCTCTCTGGGGATATGAGTAAACTGCTACTGGCAGCAAAGAAGATTAGACGGACAACGTGTACAGAGTTTATAATATCATTGGTTGCAGATGATTTTTCAAAAGCAAGCAATACGTACGTTGGAAGGCTGAGGTTAGTCACACCTCTTCAAGGTTCTTATCTTGTTGTTTGCTGCATTCTTTTATTGTTAAATTGATCTGTGAGCAATGAGCAGGTCTAATTTTCTAGGTACCAAGTTCACGATCTTGGATAGTCAACTCCCGCTTGATTCTTCCCTTCCGTTGACTAGTAAATTGCGGCAAAGAATCCGTTCGAAGCAGGTTCTTCAAAGGGCTGCTCTGGCGAAGCATAATGTGGCCACGATATCATATGAGCTCAATGTTCTCCGCACAAGAGGTCCAAGGAGAATGCGGTGTACCATGCACTCAATTCCAGTGTCTGCCATCCAGAAGGGGGCACTGCTCCTACTCCTTTGAAATTTACTAGATTCCCTCATGAGCATCCATCTTCCACGCCCATTTCGAAAGAAAGAAAGCCAGGAGTTGAGTATGGCTCCAATAGCGAAGATAAGCCCCCAGAATCGAGCCACATCACAAGGGAGCCACTGATTTTGAAAAATAAAGCTCCTAGGTGGCATGAACAACTGCAGTGTTGGTGCTTGAATTTCAAGGGACGTGTTACGGTGGCCTCAGTAAAGAACTTCCAGCTCGTAACTGCTGCAGAACCTCAACAAAATGTTTCAGCGGCAGAACAGGATAGGGTGATGCTGCAATTTGGCAAAATTGGAAAGGACATATTCACCATGGATTACCGTTATCCACTCTCTGCATTTCAAGCCTTCGCAATCTGCTTGAGCAGTTTCGACACCAAACCTGCTTGCGAGTGATCATATCGCCCTGTTTCATGATGGGATAACGTTGTGCCACTCTTCCATTTCCATACATGTACATATATTCTTCAAACGATAAACCGAAAAGAAAAAGTTGGGATGTGACTCTTACGCCAATGAACGCCTTCACCTGTAGTTGCCAAGTTTGTTTGACCTTGATGTCAGACTTGGTGTTTAATTGGCAAGTTTACCACGTTATTAATTTCTCCATGCATATTGTAGCTAATCTTGCATGAAAAAGAATATTCTTCCTGGTCATGTATTTTGCAAAGTGCCACGTTATATTTCCTTTCCGCCGGCACCTTTTGACTTTTGTGCTTTGTTTGACCTATTTTTTAATTTAATGTCTGCAAACTACTCCAATCTTGTGAGGCAGGAGAAAATAAATTTTGTTTGCCTCTCACAGAAGGAGTCTCCAATCATATACTTGGCCTCATTGTGGCACAGTCGGTGTTCATTTTGCAATTCACCCACGTGTTGCAATTCATAGAACCAAGTAGAGGACGGAGCCTTAATGGTTGAATCGAATCGCATGAACCAAAACCCGTAGGCCGTACGTAACCAGCATATCCTGTCATTTATGGATTTAATTATTTATTTTGCTTGGTATGTTGTGTGAATGAAGGGCCCAAGGCTGAAGCGTTATATTCTAACTTCATCAAATAGAAAGTGCCTTCCTTCATACACCCTATGAAGAAAAGAATTGCCGGAGAAGGTACCTTCACAGAGTAAACGATGGCAGGGAGATATTCTTTTTACCTTTCACGATGAATTGAAATACCTGTCGTGGAAGAGTTCCACGACCTGCCTTGTCCCCCAGTAGATATCATTTCCCATTTCCAAGTATTCCTAGAAGCTGCATCAGGGCACGCTATCATCTCCTACGCTAGTTTTATTTCTGTGTGTTGATTTTTATTTTGATTTGAACAGAGGGAGAACACAAAAGATGCTAGGAATTTGGCGGGGAGTAAGGCTGCGCCAAAACCCCCCAAGGCCTGCAATATTACAATTCCACGGGAATGGAATCATCAACATGGAAAGCGTATATTCACGCTTCGGATGTGTCACGTCGTCCCCACCAATGCAGCAGAAAGGGTTGGAAAATGTTACAGTTTCCGACGTACTACTGTCCAAGGGAGAAGAAAAAGTCGGCTCATGGCTCTGGTGCCGAGTTGATGATGCTGTTATTAATGCCATGAAGAATGTAAGTAGTTCGAATTGTTGAACATGCCTCCATTTTCCTTTGACATCTATATATGTTAGCCAAGTTTCTTTGAGAATTCAGATGGCTACGAACAATATTGGATCACTGGTGGTGCTAAAGCCTGAGGGTCATATAGCAGGAGTCGTCACAGAAAGAGGTAACTTTTGTTCAGAGTTCCCAAAAAGAAAAAAGACGTCGAAACTCATTCCGGACTCAACATTCTTGACTGAAAAATCCTGTGATTAATTTGTGTGCGGTGGCATGAACCAATTGATAGATTGCTTGAAGAAAATAATTGCGAAAGGAAGATCTCCAGTGTACACACAAGTTGGTGAAATTATGACTGATGAGGTTATTTCATGCCATTCCTTGGACTTTGTTTGAACAGTACCATCCAGGTTGCATCTCTTTCCCTTTTTCTCTGACCTTTGCCCTCATGATTTGCGTTAAACAGAGAAATCTAATGACGGTGACCTCTGACATGAACATACTACACGCAATGAGAATTATGACAGGTATTTGTTTTGTTTTCTGTTACTGGAAGTTGAGTTGAAACAAGATGGAAGAGATGATGAAACATGAGAGACTTTTGATTGCAGAGAATCACATAAGGCATGTGCCAGTAATTGATGGGAAGGTGGTGGGAATGATTTCGATGGTGGATGTGGTAAGAGCTGTGATGGAGCAGCAAAGCGGAGAACTGAAGCGACTCAATGATTATATCAGAGGGGAATACTACTAGCCAGGCAACGCCCACGCCTCGTTAGTTTATCACCTTGTTGTCCTCAAGTTCCCCTTCGTCTGTCTTCGATAAGACATTAGTTCAATGGCATATTGACATTTACTATTCGAATATATTTCGCGTTCGTGTGTTGGTAATTATATTCCAAATTTATTTTGTTTATATCATTAAAGATTGGATGATAATAATAATCGATTATCATTTTCTTTTAAAACAGACTGAAAAAACAAAGAATTCATAGTGTTAAACGGCGCGACAAGAAGATCCACAGCATGATGGTTTTTTCGCCCTACTCAAATGTGAATTTTATCTATCGGCCTAATTTAAAAATTTTACTTTTTTCCGGAAGAATATTTTTTTTCATGGTTGACATAGTCGAGATTCTTTTTGAACTTTCAGATTCAACATTTTCTGTCAAAATAAATATATATTATCTCCGATCTTTAATATAAAAATAGTTTAACTAATTTGAGTAGACTAAGAAAGTTAGTTAAATTAGTTGTTTGTAATAAATATGTGTTGTCTTTATTAAAATATCTATACTAATCATATGTATTAGTTAAAATTACTATTCAATAAAACATTTAACATGTTAATTTCTACAAAGACTATTTAAAAAATAAATAAATAAATATGAGAAACAACATATTGAGTCTTATACACAAAGTCAAATTAAATATCAAACTAGTTCTTTTATCGGAAAAAAAAAAAGATGGTCGGTAATCTTCCCATCATCTGACGCTGAATTCTAAAATCCAAACACCAGGCCAGCTGTATTTGGTGAATCAGTTGCCTTACGAATACGTAAGGTAGACTATAGAACACAAGAATCCATACATGTGATATTAACATGACGTTGGCAATGCAAGCAAATCCGATTCTCAAGTTGGGTAAATTCTTGAAGTCAATGAGCGAATATCATTAACCCCGATTTTCAAATGTACTGTACCGATAGTTTCGTGCTGCATGGACACCGCGCGAATATGAGATGAGCAGAACCCAAACTTGAGATTGGAATATTACACTGTCCACGAAGATAGCATATTACGGCAAGTTGCAGTCTAAGTGAAAGAGAGGATGGAGATTCCAGTAGAATATCTTAGCCTTGCTTTAGCGGTGGAGGTTTATATTGTTGGGGAATCCTTATCGAGGAGGATTGAGGATCTAATCCCCCACCAGGCTGTAAAAAATGTGAAGAAATTCTACTGGCTAATGAACATTGAATGGCCCGGTGGGCGATGAAAAGGCGAATAATTGACCCCCTATCTCATTCGAGTATTCCCCACCTTGTACAGAACAGTAGGGTGGATTCTCCCTTATTTAAGGAGGTAGAATGGGACACGCTTAGCCCAAACTAAAGCACGTTGGTCTTCAATGGGGTGGACGAGAGAAGAGAACAGAAGATTTGAGGATGCTCTTGCAGTGTATGGGCCGGAAGACCCAGATAGGTGGCAACATGTGGCCAACGCGGTGGCCGGAAAATCGCCACAAGAAGTGAAAAGGCACTATGAGATCCTCATGGAGGACGTCAATCGAATTGAGCGTGATCAGATCCCTTTACCCCGATATGTTCACTCCAGGCGAACAGCCCAGGACCCCTGGTATCATCTCTTCATCCCATCATTTCAATGTCTCTGTCTTACTTTTTATCTATTATCAGGATCACATCAACATGCTTTCAACATCATATCACCTACTTTTATGGCCTCATCATCTTCTACACAGTTCATTACTCTCATTGGATTAGTCCTTTCAAACAGTACAACGCAGAACCTTCTCTTTATGTTGCTCCAAGCATTTACCTTGCATTAATTTATTCATATAATTCTCCCTTGATCACTCATAGTTTCAATGATCTTGACTCTGTTTACACACCAATTAATTTCTTATCATCTCTTCATACAAATAAATTAGAGAACCATCGGAGAGAAAGCGGGCTCAAAGTAAATCCAATCCTTGGGATTTTAGATCACGGGCACATGGTCCTTTTAATTAGTTTGGATGCTGACCACCTTAATGCATATATACATTGCCACAAAACGGCCGATCTGGCGTGCATATCTTAAACGAAATTCCTGGATCTTTTTCTTCAAATCATAGGTAATTCTTGGGTCCGTTTAAATTTTCCAATGGAGAGCAGGGGTTGACTTGTTCAATAATGACCAATTAGTGGCTCTTTTAGGTACGGGGAAATGCTGTATTTAATCCATTAGTAGCGGATGAGAACTCGAACCTCATTTCCTATTATTAACCCCTCATTTACTTACTCTGTATCTGCATGTTTTCTTCAGCGGGATGATAAGGAACCTAAATCTTCGTTGAAGCAAGACTCTTGAGCTCTATGAAGTTACTGGGTGTTGTATGAGACATCTGTGGAGGTATATGCGCTAGTGAAGTGTAACCTAGCAGCCTCTATAGTTTCATTGGGTGTCTGTCTTTTTTGTAATTTTCTGTGTATGAGCAATGTGGTCATGTTCCCCTTATTTTAACTCGTTGTAAGAAATATGAGGAAATGCATAGCGCTTAATATGTGAAGCTGTATGTTTCATCTTTCGGTTTCCGCTCTTTTAGGCGAGTTTTTTTTTCTCTACTTATGTAAAATGTAGGGAGTAATCGAAATACTTTGCATCATGGAAGAGTAAATAAGATAAGCGAACATGTTCTTTGGTGATTAATCATTAACTAGACTTGCGTGCGTTTGTGCGTGCGTGCGCGCGTGGGAGGGAGAGAGAGAGCATGGAGAATACATTTTTCCTAAGCACAAAATTAAAAACGAGATGATCGCATTCAATGTCTGAAAGATCAGAAATATACTCCTCCGCTCTTAAATATAATACTCTTTTTATAATGTAATTTCACTACAAAAAGAGTATTATATTTAGAACCGGAAGAATATATTAGAAAGAAGAATGATAAAAGTTGCATGCATGTAACTAAATATGGATCACTAATAAATATGGGGAAAGCCACCACTGGACGATGGCTATTACAAGTAAAGTCGGAAAAGAAGGTATTCCAATAAAAATGTTGTGATGTAAAGAGCTAGGAGCTGATCCAGCAAAACAAACTAGTTGAATCCTACGGTTCCGTAAGGAGAACAGCTAAATTGAGCCAAAAATAACAAATGAGGGCGCGAGATGCGGGCATGAACTTAGGCAACCCAGCAGCAATCTTGTTGGGTTATAAATACTAGGAATACTGTACGATTCAGCGTTGCATTGTTGCAACCATCGTTTAGTATACATATAGGCACTAATAATTAAGGGAAATGACAAAAATAGCATTGGTGGTGGTAATATCATTAGTGGTGGCTCTGCCATGGCGTTGGGCCGGGGTCAGGACGATCCCTGGAAGAGTCTGGCAGATCAGGCGGCAGCGCAGGGCATCTCTCAACAGTCCATAGATGATGCTCAGGTGCTCTTCGCGGCGGTGGCGGTGATCCCGA